CGGCAATGAAAATTTGTTCATAGAAAGAACTGACACCCTCGGCATCCCAGCCATTGGCGAGATGGATGATCGTTTTGACGGTCGACGACTCAGAGCGCGCACCATTAATGGCCGAGTGAAGCAGCTGCGAGAGAGGAGAATAGCCATTGACGGAGATTTCACCAACGGGCCACAGTATGCCGTTGTTGATCTCATTTCCGATCTCGAAGAAACCGAATCAGCACGGAAGAACAGGGATGCTGAAGTCGGGGTACCTCGATAAATGCGGGGGGAGTGCCTTGCGCATTGAAAGCTGCGACAACGCTCTGGGTATAGCTAAAGTGGACATCATTCAATGTGTTCCTTCGAGGGAAGAAAAACTCCACAAACGTGAAGATTTGAGTGTTTAAACCAGCCAACGTTGTGGGCCTGCGGAGCGTGAGCTTAGCATTCTGCGTCCGTGGGTGAAAGAAAGTACCATCCAGCAGGGATCGCCTGATGGCCGGGGTCGGCCCCTGAAATAGGATGTAAACGTCATGAACCAAGTCGAAGAGCTTCAAACGCACAAGTGTCACTGTAATGCAAGTCGATGAGGATGGACATCCCTGCAGCAACAGCCCTCTTTGCCAGCGCAAGACCATAGGTCAAACTGTAGTCTGCGCTGTTTGTGGAGGTCCAAACACGAATTCGAGCAAGATTTGTCCCATGAACCGCAAGGATGGTCTCGAATTTGGTCGACGATGTCGCTGAGTCATGGTATACAAGGCCCCCCTTTTCCAAGTTCGCAAGGGATGAGAAATCCGCGCCGTGGTAAGTCAACGCGCTGATGCGCGGTATAAGACACAGCAGAATGGCCGAGAGAGAGAAACGCATATTTGTCGGTAAGCCAGACGAGTTTCCGGCTTGTTGGAACTTTATATAACAAGGTCGCCCCGGAGCCGGGCCATGGTGGAACAAGCAGAACGGTCCGCTCGACGTCACAAGGAAGTAGCTGGTGAGCGTTTTCGGGCAAATATAAGACTTCTGATCTTGCGTGCATGGGAAGAAAAGCCGATAAAAGCTTCAGTCCCCGATCATTCCTTGGCGATGATGGCAAACAGCAAATCTTGAGGTCAGGTGCAGAATGGAGCGAAGAGATTGCGACCGAATGGCCGCCATTCCGGTTGCAACGCCGGAGAAACTGGATCCATCCGAGTCGTTGGAGGTCACTAACTGATTGAAAGTCGGTATTACCTTCAGGGTTCAGAACTGCTGGAATGCAGTTGTTGTTGCCCATGAGAGAAACTCAACTTATTCGAACCGTCATTGACGTTCAGGTTCAAGAAAGTAACACGAGTATGTAGAACGATTGCGTCAACGATTTCTTTCGAGCGGTTTAATGAGCTCCAACAGTTGCATAGCGGCAAATGGTTCCGAACTCATACCGAAAATGGGGCAATTAACTTCTTGCACTAATGTGAGCCAGATTTGGATTCGCGAATTGCCCACCATTTCTGTTCAATCTCCTTCTCTTGGGCGATCCATTTGGCAAGGAACTCTGCTCGCCGCCACTCGTGCGGCCATCCGCACTCGCGATATAATGTTAGCAGCGCCTGCTGTTTTTCCTGTGTCTATTATCTAGTCAGTTTGGGCTTGTCCAGCGACAGAATATACTGACTTCTTCAGGGCAGTAGTCCCTAGACAAGTCTTCGAGGGGGTCGCTATACTCCGCTTCGATTACGGGTAGTCTCGAGAGCGAATGATATGCATGGATGAGCTCTGAGAAGTATCGTGCCGCGGGGACTAGCGGTGCTCGTCGATATTCCGTCCAGCTCGCCTGTTCCCGCCCCTCATCGGTATCGAGTACTTCGCCGTGCCGCCGCCATTCTACAGTCTCCTCTGAGACGTAGTCACCATATGCACGGATGACGCCGAGATTTGTGTCGAGCATCACATGCCGACCGTATCGGCCCGCCAGGAGAATGGGCAGCATCCAGGGATCAAGGTCGGGACATCCGTCGAAGTACTTGTATGGGTACGGACGACGAGCCTCTTTAAGAAGATCATCGGCAGTGTAGTCAACGAGTCGTGAATCGCTACAGATTTCGTATTTCCGGTCGTGCCAGGGGTTGTCGATACTCACGTATGGGAGTCGAAGCATGACGGATATGGCGGCGGGGGTGTACCCTAACTGCAATGCAAGGTCCTCGTTCACTGGTGGATTCGTGTGAGGTGGGTACCGGATGCTGCCTTCAGGCCAATGGCCCATCGTAACCAATAGTTCGTAAAATTGGGTTATCAGAGAGACGGCTTCGTCGGGGTCATATGCAGCGGCTGCGTCCTCTTCTGCCTTGAGAAGATTCCCAATTTGCCGATCCAAATTCTGTTGCTTTTCGAGCTCATCGAGAGACTGAGTCGACGAAGATCGCCAGCCTTTTTGTGCATCTGCGCGAATATAGGATAGTTCTGATTCGCTAATTTGCTCGGCGGAATCTGTGGATATGTCGCTTCCTTCAGAGGGAACATAATCCGAGTCAGAGTCGTCGCTGTCGTTGTCGAGGTCAGCGTCAAGCCAGTAATTCGCCTGTCGTCGTTCCTCTTCCGCGATTGTAACGAGTATGCTTGGCTGGCCCCATGGCCAGGGACGCGGCTGGTAGGGTCGAACCTCACCTGCCATGGTGAACGTTAAATTGAACCATTGTTGGGTTCTGTTCCAAGGGTCGGCTGCCGCTCCGGCAGCGCGGCAATTCCATCTTCGGTTCACCGTTTACTCCGATGTCTTCACCATTTGCCTCACACCTGGGCACTAATTACTGTCCTCGAGACGAGGAAATAATCCAAATCAAAGGGCTCTTAATCGAGCCATGTTTGCGGCTGAAGCGTCTTGACGATGAAATTGCTGTTCTGCAAAAGGCCCTCGACAAATTGACCGAGGAACGCGACGCGGTTAGTGCCTTTGTGGACGCCCACAAGGCTCTAACCTCGCCCCTCCGACGACTTCCTCTGGATCTCATCGAGGAAATATTCATGGCTTGCATCCCCACTCACCGAAATTGTGTAATGAGTGCCACGGAAGCACCTGTAATCCTCGGGCGGATATGTAGCTCATGGAGGACAATATCGCTCTCGACACCTCGACTTTGGTCGAGGCTGCATATTGTAGAGCCTACATGCCCGTACAGCGCGAACCCCGCTTTATACGAAGCCAAGGTTGCGCAGCGGCTCGAAGTAGCTAACGCGTGGTTGCGGCGCTCAGGGACGTGCCCTCTGTCAATATCTCTGGAAAGCAACCTCGACCATGGGATAACACCACCACTTACGCCCCCGCTTTCCCCCCCGAGCCCGGATCTCTTCCTGAATGTTCTTGTCCCATTCGCCTCCCGATGGCAGAATATCCGCCTCATGATTCCCCCCTTGGCCCTTGAGAGGCTGTCGACCCTAACGGAGAACGATGTGCCACTGTTGGAATATCTAAAACTGGTTCAACGTCCCGAGCACCCGAACAGCGACACCAGATGGACTCTGTCCCCGTTCGGCTTCCTTCGCGGCCCTAATCTTTCGAGATTTTCGCTTTTGGGAGGCAACAACAATCCTTTAGACCTGCCCCTTCGGTGGAACCAGCTCACATCCCTATCCCTCATGGGCCCGGCCTGGGGTCTGGCTCATGCCCAGACATGTCTCGTTATCTTGGACATCCTCTCCTGGTGCCCCAAACTCCAGACTTGCAAGCTGCTTGTTCAGGGTCCCCCGGAAGGGGAACTACCGCATTCCATCGTCGAGTGCCCTTGTCTCCACACCGTCGAGCTGCTGTGTGTCGGCACTCCCCTCCTTACGTCAGGTAGTCTACTGACCCGCCTCTCGCTACCTCATCTGCGGGATTTCAGGCTGAGCGGACTCGGGGAGCTTCCCAATATATTCACCGGAGAATCCCTTGTGTTCTCTCTTGCTGCTGCAGCCCATTTAGAATGTGTTTCCATCCACAGCAATACGTTCTCGAAGCCATTCCTCATTGACTTCCTTCGCGGCCTGCCGCCCACGATCCGGCACCTCGACATCACAGAGCCCGTGCACTTGTGGCGCCCATCGATTACAGAAGCCGCCCTCGACGACGACGTACTCGCCGTTTTGAATGCGTCCTCAGACTCAGATAACCCTGGCACGCCCATCCACCTCCCGGCCCTCGAGGAGCTAGCCATCCACAGCTGCCGCAAGGTGTCCGACGCGGCGCTCCTGCGGTTCACGCTCTCCCGCGCGGCCACACTCAGACTGGTCGACATTCAGTTCGACCGGGAGCAGCAGGTTGACATACTTCCGGACCTTGCGCCCTTCGTGAAGGGTGGGGGAAAGGTGTCCATCACGTATATTACCCTCACACCTCCGCAGTTTTCGCCGTGGATGGGATTGCCGGATGCGCCTCCTCCTCCTGGGATGCCTCCGTACTATCCGGCCGCCGGAGGTTTTTATTGAATTCATTGAATTCTTTTCCGCATCATGCTACATGTTGAAACTGGATCCACCAATTATTTGTATCGTTCCCACAATGTTTCCCTGCGACCGGGACGAACGTCGGACGCGCGCACGAAGGCGAAAGTGGTTGGAATTTAGAAACGTCCCAGGCAAAAAATCCCGGCGCAGCCACTCAGAGTCACCACCGTTGCGGACACTGCGGTCCACCGTCCAATAGGTTACCCGACTGGAGTGTGCAGAATCTGGAAAGGAGAGGACCGTCTATTTTGCAGTTGTTAAATCGGCGGAGGACCAGTGCAATTTGTACAATAACGGGCCATGCGAGGAATACAGAATATCATCATTATTGGGTAATTGGAAATTGAACCAGCTTCTCGGTCTCGTCTTCTGCACTCCCTTTTGCTTTAGAGTTTGAATGTCTTTATTTTCTAGTGGTACAGCTATCTTGGCCCGTCGTCGTCGTCGCTGTCCGAGCCAGGATTCGCGACGAACAGCACGGCCTCCTGCCGACCTCAGACATGGCAAAGAGAGCGCGAGAACAACCAAAAAAAAAATAGGCGTCGAGGGCCGATGTATGCATTAAGGGGGAATCGAACCCCCGGCGGGTCGAGGCAGCATGCGACTCATAGTCAATGGCAACGACCCAGGTTACCACTACCCCATTAATGCGACAGAGTAGGGCGTTCAAACGTTCTTTACAATCGAATACGAGTGGTGATTTATTTTCAAGAATGCCCTGCCGAATATTCGAGAAATAATGAGCTCAAGTCCTCAGGCTCTTTACGTCCCTGCATGATCATGACCATTGGCCTGGGAGACCCAGTTCTGATAGAATCGGGATCTCGGCCGATGAGAAGCAACACAGCCACTTACACATCATGAACACGAACGACCACGACGAAATCAACCTGAAGCGACTCGTCCGGAGACTTGAAAAGTCTGCCTCGGATTCACAATGGACGGGCTCTTCAGATGAGACCTGGATCAAGGTGCAGGGAACTCTCCAGGTAATCCAGCCGGTATAGCATTGGAGCGAGCCCTAAATGCGCGGCTAGAAAGTGAAATACGCGAGAAAGTTGCTTGCAAATGTAGAATTGGAGGACCTCGATCCTACTCCGTTGGTCTATGCGCTGCACACTACCTCTGAAAGTGACACGTTTTTTGTAGGAAGAGTACGCAGAGGTACGAGGACTGGAGAACGAAGCTGAACCGGATCGACATGTTTATGCAGGAGTTGGAAAAGGTTTTGTCTTGAGTAGTAATTCTGAGGCTCACACTCTGACCGCTTTCCGACAGAGGACGGCACCGAAACACACGCGACCGGAGTCCATTCTTCCCCAGATCCCTGCACCTCCCGAGGAGCCCGAACCGCGAACCTCGCCGGACGCTCCTGGCGAAGACCCCATCACACCCCAGCCAACAGACAACCTGCTGCTCTCTGTCTCGGACGTCGTGCCATCGAACCCGCCCCCACTAATTCCATCGTATCCTTCGGCCACGAAATCGACGACCACCGCGGTCGAGTCGCGTCTTCTGCAGCACTCGAATGCGCGCCAAAGGGGCATGGCCGACGAGATAGCCCTCATGGCGGCACAATTGAAACGGAACGCGATGCATTTCAACGAGCTGCTGGTCAAGGACCAGGAAGTGCTCGAGGAGACGGACAAGAAGCTCGAGGGAAACTTTGGATACATGCAAACGACACAAGAGCGCACGAAGAAGCTGAATGCGAAATCCTGGTCCTCGACATGGATACGCATGCTAATTATCTGCGTTGTGGTGTTCGTTTTCATGTTTATGGTTTTCTTTATGCGGTTTTCGGGACGATAGATGTTGTCTGTAGCTTGAATTTATGCATTGTGGCAATGAGAGAACAAGAGATTGATGCTATTTGGGCGTGTGAACTATTTCTCCTTTCGCGTCCACCATGAGCACGACGCCTGCTCCCCGTCGTTCCCAACGCGAAAGGAAGGCTTTGCCACCCCAATCCCCGGGTATTTCTCTTGTATGGTGTTCTTGATGAATTTCGCGCTCATTTTGTGCCAGATGACGCGCCACCGAAAGGAAAGCGCAAACGCGCGGATTCGGGCTCAGAAGACGACGACGATCCAAAGCCCAAACGGAAGGCCAAGCAGTCTCCTGTGGCAAAGAAACCCCGAAAGACGCGAAAACCCAAGGACGGAGAAGACGCGTTTGACCCACAGCAGGCTGCAAAAGAGTCCAAGATAAATGCAGACAATCCTCTATTCAGTGCGTTTTCTGTCTATCAAGTCCTCGAATTGAGCTAAGAACGAGCACTAGATGCGATTCTAAACCCCGCTGCTGCCCTGCAATCTACCGCAGAAGACTTTCTCGAGTCCTTGGATCAGTCGCCCAATCTGGCGCTGGCTGAGGTTATTAATCTCGTCTTGCGCGCGTGTGGCTGCAACGAATCTGTCGATGGGGACCAGGCCGTAGACTACGACGGCATTGTCGACGCGTTGGATGAATTCACAGAGGGTCTCAAGAAGGAACAAGCACCCACCCCATATCCCCTCACCTCCAAACTTCCCCTCTTCAAGAAATTCCGCAAGTCTCTCCATGAATTCCTCGACCGCCTCATCACCGCCGCCGCATCCCTCGGCTCGCTCTATACCTCCGACCTCATCCCGACGCTGCAGGCGTGGGTCGTTTCCATGTCCAGCTCCCAGATCCGCAGCTTCCGCCACACCGCAACCGTGGTTGCGCTCGACCTTGAAAGCGCCCTGTGCGACGTTGCCGCCGCCGTCGAGAAGGAAGCCGAGCTCAGCGCGCGCCAGCGCGAAGGGGAGAAGAAGCGCCGTGCCGGCAAAGCCAACGCTGCGCGCGCCGGCGACAAGAACCTCGATGCCAAGGCCGCCGAGATCCGCGAGCACCGCGACAAACTCAAGGAGTTCATCAAGGACTTGGTCGACGGCGTTTTTGTGCACCGCTACCGCGACCTCGATCCTATCATCCGCGCCGACTGCATCCTCGCACTCGGCACCTGGTTCACTAAGCATCCCGCGCACTTTCTCGACGCGACGTACCTGCGCTATATCGGGTGGGTGCTCTCCGATAACGCCACGGCGGTGCGCCTCGCGGCCCTCAAGGCGCTCGCGGGCGTGTACGCGCAGCCGACGTACGCGCCGCAGGTGCACCACTTTACTGAGCGCTTCAAGGGCCGGCTGCTCGAGATGGCCGCAAAGGACTCGGAGCCGGCCGTGCGCGTCGTCGTGCTCGACGTGCTCGAGCACCTCGGCGCCACTGCGCTTGAAGAAGACGAGCGCGAGACGGTCGCGCTGTGTGTGTTTGACGCGGAGCCGCGCATCCGGCGTGCGGTGGGTCCCTTTGTGCGCGCGTGCTGGCTGGAGCTGGTCGACGAGCGGCTGGTGGGGCGCGCGGGCGCGGTGAGTGACGAGGAGCGCGCAAGGGCGGGGGTGAAGGCACTCGGATCGGTGCTGGTGCGGTGGGGCACGCGGCTTGATGAGGCGATGGAGGATGACGAGGAAGATGAGGCAGAGGGCGACGAGGCGCGGGGGAACAAGCACAAAGAGCCGAGTGCGCTGGTGGGGACGTCTCCCGAGGACCGCATAGGGCGCGCGGGGCTGGTGGTGGAGGCTCTGTGGGACGATGTGGATGCCGTGAGCGACTTTGAGACGCTGCTGGACGTTCTTCTGCTCGACCACTCGTCTGTGGAAGCCGCTTCTGCGCGCAGGGGCAAACCTAATGGCAAGGCGGCAAAGGCGAGCGAGGAGGGACTGGTGGACGAGGCGTGGCGGCTCGAGGAGGAAGAGGAGACCGTGCTCATCGAAGTGCTTTTCGCCAGTCTGCAGCACGCCAAGGCCACCGCAAAGAAGGTTGGAGTTCCATTCTTTTCCTCTATTTATTTCTAAGGAACGCAGGGCGAGGAAGAGACCGTGACGAACGACATTACCCGCGCGCTCATCAAGGGCCTCCCGCGGCTGCTCATGAAGCACCAGACCGACCAAACCCGCATCGCCAACGTGCTCGCGCTCCCGACGCTCATGAACCTCGACCTGTACCTTGAGATGCGCATGATGACAAACTACGCAAACCTGTGGGACGACATCAGCAAGCAGTTCCTCTCGCACGCGGAGCCGGGCGTCCTGCGGGCGGCGATCGGCGCGCTCAAGCACCTCCTCGCTGCGACGTCGCTGTCAAACCAGAACAACCGCAAGATGCTCGAGCTCGAAGATGAGCTGTCGAGTGCGCTGAGGGACGCGGTCGCGGGAAGAGAAGAGATTGAGGTGGCGGTGTTTGACGAAGACGAGGTGATTGCGCTCGGCGGGCTGTGTGCAAGACTGGCAGAGCTGTGTGGCTCGCGCGATATGAGCGCGTGGATGGAGGAGGACGAGGGCGGGAAGCAGAGCAGCGCATGGGATATCGTCAGTGCGCTGGTGGAGCGTGGGCGGCTTGGGTACAAGGAGGAGGCGTTTGTGAGTTGTTTCCTTTATTTATTTTTACTGCAAAACTAATGCTCGGAAAGATGATTACGCAGGCGATTGAGCTCCTGCAGAAGCACATCTTGTGGAAGGTGAGGCGGCTGCGGCGCGATGAGGCGGAAGCAGAGGCGGAGGAGGAGGACTCGCCGGAACGCGAGAAGCTCAAGGAGCAGCGCGATTCGTTGTTGGAGAAGCTCGTCGAGTTTGCGGTTGGGACGCAGTCGAACACCGCGGAGGCCGTCACGCGCACTGTATGTCTCTCGTCTCGTCTAAGGGCTGAGTGTACTTATAATAATGCAGGCGTTCATGTGTCTCATGAACATCCACATCGCTTTTGGGCCGGCACACCAGATGGCGGCGCCGCTGGACGACGAAGTGCAGTTCCGCTGCGCGGGGTACGTGCAGGCGGAGATCGAGCGGTATGCCGAGACGCTCGTTGGACCGGATATGGGGGAGCAAGATGACGAGGACGAGGACGAGGAGAAGGAGAACGGTAGCGGGGACGAGGGCAGCAATGCGGGCGACGAGACAAAGAAGAAAGGGAAGGCCAAAGCGGCGCCCAAAACGAAGAAGCGTGCTGCCAAGGAGGGTTCGTTGTTTTTTCTCCTTTTATTGAGCGTTCTGTGCTGACTTGGCGGTATCTAGTTGACCCGACCTCACCCGCACAGCTCCTCAGCGAGTACGCGTTCGTTGACCTCATCGTCACGTTCCTCCGCGCCATCCGAGCCGGCGTTTTGCACGTCAGACATACGGCCATCCTTCTCTCGCACTACGGTCGCCTCGGAGCCACCTACGATCAGTTCACAAAGGCCATTGTGGAGATATTACGCGACGAAGGGATGGCAAAGGACAACGGCGACGTGGTGGTCGTTGTGCTCAACCAAGCGTTGCGAGAAGTGGGTCTTTCTTTTAGTCTCAGTGGTCCTATGTTTATCTATTCGCGCATAGGCGTTCACCTTAGTCCTGGACGGCCTGTTGTCGGACGAGACTAACGTCGTACAGCTTGCCAAACACCTCGCGCCGACATTCGTCCTTCGCGGGGCGCATCTTGCGATCCTCAAGAAGCTGGACGCGCAGTACATTGTGCAGATCCAGACAAATGCGCTCTCATGGATTGCGAAGCGCATTGCCGGCTACGAGACTAACGGGAACAAGAAGTCGTTACGGGTTGCAATCACATTTTTCAAGGCGTTGATTCCTCTGCTG